GTCAGCCAACAACAGAGCAACTTATAAAAGACAACTACAAAATAAGCAAATGTTTGCAGCTTGGTTGTTGTTACCTTGCACCCTCAGTGGGCGGATGAGAATTCAACCGTGGGAAGTTTTTCACTCACCTCTTGAAATGTTCCCTCTGACACCTCGATTTGCTAAAGATCTGTGATAGTCACCAAGCAATCCAGGGTTACTGATGCCGCAAATAAGAAACTTTTCAACAAATCCTACAGTGTTGAGAGTGCCTGAGGAAGGAGGGGATGTCCACAGGTTGGTGGACTGGCGTAGGGGACTGGCGTAGGTCCACAGGTTGGTGGTTAATGAAGGTGTTCACAGTGCCCGGCTTTACTGGGCTTTCAGTCTTGCTTTATAGCAGACCTTTAACGGGTCTTTGTCAGCTTTTCTGTCAGGTTTTCACCTCAGAAGTCACTTGGGCTATAACTTAAAAATAATAATACAGGGACAGTATAGTGAGCAGTGCCTTTATTTGAAAGACTCGAAGAAACAAATTACTTGTTCTCTAGAAAATTAGGCAGCAAAAAGAGGAGACTCTCGTTCATATTCATTCTCCTCTTCGCTTCTCTTCTCTCTCTCTCTCTCCCCGTGCCCGTCTCTCTGTCTGTAATCAGGAGTGACAATAAAGGGAAAATGGCATGCTACCAGCGGAATGAAATCAGAATTTAGCAATGCTCTCACTCAGTAGAAATGTATTTCCTGGGCTTCTGTGATCTCAGGCGCTGTGTTGCTGGGAAGCAGGTTAGTGGAGGTCTCTCCCCTCAAGGAACTGAGGAGCTTGCTCGCACAGGCCAGAGTTCTGCTTAATAGCCTGCAGCTGGCCTGGGAGAGTCATGGGACAGCCCTCCCCACGTCACTCCCCAGAAGGGGAAATGCAGGGGTCGAGGTTGTGAAGGGGACTTTGAAGGAAAGCTGGGTGGGCTCAGAATGGCGGAAGCCTTCATAGAGTTTCCTTTCTGTGAGTAGTGCGTGTTTGCTCTACACAATGTTCATATTCGCCTTAGGGCGCAGGTACATGTATTTAACGTACATGGACCCTTCTTGTTCCTCTTCTTTCCCCGCACACCTCCCTCCCTCCCTCCCTAGGTCTCTTTTCCCCATATTTTTAGTTCCTCTTCACAACATAAATGATTACCTGCATTATGAGCAGTCGGTACAGGTCCACGATGTATCTTAAATCTTTTTGCATCCCTTCCCCTCCCCGCTCTCCCCACCCTGTCTCTTGGTCCCCTTCCCACTCGCAAAAGAGCTGTCTCCCTGTTTCCTTTAATCCGCCTTTTATTTTGCTCTTTATTTGTGTTTTGGATTATTCACGTGAGAAAACCCAGATGGTGTTTAAGCTTATGTTTCTGTATTTCTTCTCTTAACATTGTTTTCAAGGTACTGTGTATCTGCTTTCTGACAGATGTCTCAGATTTGCCCTTCACTGTGGCCGAAATATTTCACTATGTGTAGATACTGCGTTTTCTTTGCCTGAGCAGCTTCCAGGGCCATGAATTGCACTGCTATAGACATGTATATGCATGTACCACTGTAATATGATGTCTGTCTTTCTTTTGAGAGGATATCTACAATATCAGGAACAGCTGAGTCAAATGTAATTTCTAGTTTTGTTTTTTTTTTTAAGAAATCTCCATATTGATTACCATAATGGTTGTACTCTTTTGCATTCCCACACGATGTAGCAGGGATCCTTTTGCACTGCAGCCACACCAGCATTTGTTACTATTTGATTTCTTGATGATGGCTACTCTTTCTGGCATAGGATGAAATCTTCGCCTTGTTTTAATTTGCATTTCTGTAATGGCCAGAGATGCTGAACATTTTTTTATGTGTTATTGGCCATTGGGACTTCTGAGAAATGTCTGTTCATTTCAGATACCTATTTTTTATTGAGTCTTTTATTTTGGGATGTCTTAATCTTTTTTTAGTTCTTCATATATTCTAGGTATTAGTCCTCTGAACAATAGCTGTTCAGAAATGTATTTCACATTCTGTAGGTTGTCTCTTCACTCTGTTGGTTTCCTTTGCTATGCAGAAGCTTTTTAATTTAATAGAATCCCATTTGTTGGCCCTTGCTGTGATTCCTTGTGCAATTTGAGTTCTGTTCAGAAAGTCCTTGCCTACGGTATTTTGAGAGCTTTGCCTATTTTATCTTCTAGTAGGTTAAGTATTTCTGTTTTAATATTTAGAGCTTTGATCTATTTTACTTTTAGTTCAGTATGTGGTGAGAGATATGGGTCTACTTTCAATAGTCTACATGTAACAGCCAGTTTTCCCAGCACCATCTGCTAAGGAGACTATTTTTCCTCCAATGTATGTTTTTGACCCCTTTGTCAAATATCAAACAGCTAATTGTATTTGGGGTTTCCTCTGAATCTTCTGTTCTGTTCCATTGATCCACATGTCTGTTTTTGTGCCAGTACCATGCAGTTTTTATCACCGTCGCTTTGTGGTATGACTTGAAGTCAGTCATACTTCTTGCTTTTGCTCTCGCTAGTCCAGGACTCCTTTTGCTTCTCTGGGTTTCTTCTGGTTCCATATGTATTTTAGCATTGTTTTCTCGAGTTCTGTGAGGAATACTAGAGGTATTTTGATTGGGATTGTGTTAAATCCGTACATCAGTTTTGGCAGTATGGCCATTTTGGCAATATTTGTTCTCCCTGTTCAGGAGTAGGGAACAACCTTCCATTTTCTGATAGCCTCTTTAAGCTTCTTTTTCAAATTACAATAGTTTCCATTGTAGAGATATCTTTCACTTCTTTGGTTAGGTTAATTCCTAGGTATTTAATTTTTCTTGGTGCTATTGTGAATGTTATTGTTTTTCTAATTTCTTTCTCCTCCATTTTGTTTTCTGGTACCAGAGATTGAATTTATTTCTCAATGAGTTTATTATTGGCATACAGGAAGGCTATTGATTTTTTGTGTTTATTTTATCTCCTATTACATTGATGAATTTGGTTATCCCTTCTTGGGATTATGTAAATCTTTCTCCTTTTAAGGAGTATGGACTTCATGTCAGTAGTAGAAAGCCCTGGAAAGATTGCAGAGCAAGAAGAGACATGATTTATATTTTAAATTTGTTTTACAAAGAGAATGCTCAGATGAGAGGCAGATGATGGGGGCCACAGGGACACAGCAGAAGGAATGATGTAGGCATTATATGTGTAACTCGCTCTGCCCAGAATTTTGGAAGTTCAATTCTTTTTGCTGATTTGGACAGAAAAAGATAAAGACAAAGAAACTTAAGTCTGATTGATTTCGTGACTTAGTAGCCATGTATCCTTGAACAAGAAACCTAACACTGTCTTGTCTTCCTCACCTGCTAAATGGAGATGACCAGTACCTGTGTTCAGGGTTGAAGTGAATGTTAAATAAAACGTTGCATGCACACATAGAGCTCTTAAAACTCTGCCTAGGATATAGCACATGCTAAATACTAATTTCCTACAGTTATATCAGTTCAGTGACTCACTTATTTGTTGCTTTAATCTGTATGAATTTGCTTTTAAGACACTCCAGGGTAGTCTGTTGTAGATTGTCATCAGTAAGTTTTACTTGCAGAATTTTACAGACATTTTCAACTCCTTTTTCAGTAAAAAATAGAAGGGTAAGCCCTGTAAATTAAAATGGCTCCTCATGTGAAATGCAAATAGAAAATTTTTAAAGAACTGTGGTACGTGGTGCCTAGTGTCACTGTGGGTAAGGGGAAACAGGGAGACCCTTTAGATAAGTTCCAGTGTTGGGAAGGTGGGATAGTCTTACTTTACGGTACAGTGTGATCGATTTGCTTGATAAACAGATTCTGAGATTCTGGGACATGGTTTGAACTGTTTCCAAATACAAAGACAGAAACACCTTCAAAAAAATCCCCTCAATAAAATTGTAATTACTATGGCTCTGATTCCTTCTTTGTGAAATGACTATTCTACAACCTTAAATTAAAGCAATAATTATATCTACTGCAAATATAATAAAAATTATAAGTGGGCTGTACATTTATCATAGATTTTTATGATACATTTATTCATCATCTAACTAACTGAAAGATTAGCATTTAGAACAAAGTCTAGTGGGGGGGGAATGTTCTTTGTATTCCCTGGGGGGCCTGTGTCATGTTTCCTCACACTACTAGGGCTTCATGAGACAGGCAGTTGATGCCGTTGGGTTATAGGAAAAGTTTATAGAATTTAGGAAGAAAAATTAAATATCTGGAAGTGTTTCCCTTTTGAAGAGCCGGGAAAGCCATTCTTGATGAAGGGAAACTATGCGTTCCTTCTGTAGATTTGAGGTGAACGAAGTTGCCCTTGTCACGAAAGGTTTTTATTGTGCCTGAAAGTGAACTCTTCATTGATGGAAGTGTTTCTTTTATTTGATCCATCAAGATTACCAAGGCACATGTCACTGTTCCTCACTAAAATACAGCTCACGAAGCCATGATTAAAGTTAGAGAAACCAATTCCTGAAGTGGCAAGAGATTACAAACCCTGCATTTCCTCCTCTTGGTTCCTGAGAATTCAATTTCAATAGTGCTGAGTACTTTTGAAAGAATACCCATAAATTATTTAAATTATATTCCCCAACTTTTCCCCTTGGTTCATGGCAAACCAATTTTGACTAGTTCATAAATTAGAAGAGCAGTTTTTTTTTTAAACAAAGTAATTTACTGAAAATATTCTTGCAGTATTGTGATTGTGGTTAGAGTAACAAGCAAAGCCCTCAGTCAGCCGAAGAACGGGTAACTTGCTGTCCAGTCCCAGCCTTGCTGGGAACAGATGTGTTATTTCCACAGAGGTTTTCTGATAACCTTTGTCCAGTCTCCACTAAGGGACTATTATGAGAACCAAGTGAGTGAGGTTTGTGAAAGTAATTTGAAAGATAAAAAACACTAAAAATAAGAAATGTAGTTACCAAACATTCTGAAGGAGTCTTATAATAAATGGAGTAAATGGTAATGAACTTTTTGCTTCATATACCAGGGAACAAGGGAAACTCTCAGTCGGCACTGCACTGTCCTTGGGGATGCTCTTCGGAAAGAGAATGATTTTGCTCTCATAATTGATGGGAAGACCCTCAAGTATGCTTTAACCTTTGGAGTCCGACAGTATTTCCTGGACTTAGCTTTGTCATGCAAAGCTGTCATTTGCTGCAGGTAAGTCCTTCTTATCATAGTCAAATTTCAGGGGAAGTGACTCAATCCTAAATTCTAGGTTTTTAAATGTTCCATGAAGCTGTCCTGTCCAGTATTATGTGATGTAATATAATTCATGTATTCAAGACCTAAAGTTGACAAACTACAATAGGATTTGTTAGCGGTTTGTTTGTTTGTTTTAATGAGTCCTTAGGATCAGTAATACATATTGTTTGTAATTTGAACCCATGGGTTCTTGACATTATCTGTATTTAAAATGGACTCTTGGGGTTGGTGGTGTGGCTCCTGACAGAGCAAGTTTATCATGTGCAAGGCCCTTGGCTTTATCCACAGCATGAAAACGAAATCTACTTTTGTTCTATCTTGAGTTATTTCTATAGGAATTTTATTTTCAATACTTTAATCTTTGACCCTAGTACTATGAATCGTTTTGGAAGATGGCACAGACTTTTTTCCAAATAACTGGAAACTTTTCACAAAGCTGTTTATTGACTATACTGTCCTTTACCCAGTGCTTTATAATATTACCTATGTCCTAAATTAAAATCTGCTTGAGTTATCTACAAATAGTCTATAAAATTACATTTTGTACACTACTGAGCTACAATCCTGCCTGAATTTCTTGTCAAGGAATCTTTCCCATCTCTTTGTCTAGACTTTTTAAGCCGTGTCCTAAAGTATGTTCATGATGATACTCAAGTCTTCTCCCTTCTGATCACCATGAAACCTAAGGATTTCCTTTTTGTCATCAGCTTACTGAATCTTACCAGAAGTGAGACTGGGCCCAGCATAGTACTTTCTCACATTGCTTCTTTTTCCTGGGAGACAAAATGTTAGCAGGCTTCTGAAGAATTTTTCAGAATCTGTGTTTTAACATGACCTTTAAAACTGTTCCATCTGCATGGTGCTTACCTGTAATCCTAGCCTTCTGGGAGAATGAAGCAAAGAAAGATCACAAGTTCAAGCCCAGCCTGGGCAACTTAACAATTTAGTTAGACCTTGTCTCAAAGTAAGAATTAAAAGGGCTGAGGAGGTAGCTCAGTGTGAAGGTCCTGGGTGTAATCCCCAACTAGGGATGGGGGGGTCTTCCATTAGCTTTAATTTTTTTAAAGCTGTGTTTTACAAAAGGATATTATATTTTTGAGACTTGTTTCTGTCTAGATTTATTCACATAAATATCCTACATGTGTATATGTGATTGTCTCTGAACTTACCCATACCTTGTAAATATTTCCTAAATTTCAGTTGACATATACTTCCTGAAATATATTATAAGCCATACTAAATGTTCTGTATAAGCATAGTTTTGTTGTTGTTGTTGTTGTTGTTTTTTGATACCGGGGATGGAACTCGGGTCCTTGCACTTTTACGGCAGGCCACCGAATCCCAGCTAAATCCCCAGCCCATAAGCAAACTTTTGATCTATAAAACTCTATCCCACTTAGAGAATTAAGAGTTGCCTATTACTCCTTAAAATGTAATTATTTTAGTGATACAATCTATTTTCTCCTCTGTAATATGTATTAATAAGTAATATTACTATAAAGCTGTTGGACAATATATTGTACAGATGTTTAATGTTAGTAACAATCAGGCTCTTTGCTTAATCTTAAAGAAAGAGTTGGAAATGATTCCAGCTCTCTTAACTTGGGTATCTTCATGCTCTTTAACATCTGCTTTCAGGCTGACTTTTCTTGGTTCCTTGCTAATATCTTGACAAGGCCTTATTCATGTTCAGCTCTGACACTCTTCCATCAGGATAATTTTGTGCCAGATTTGGTCATTTAATCGCTTTCACTAATGGGTTCATAAGGATCAACAAAAGATTGCTCAAAAGCACACAAGTGTTATGATTGTCGGCTTCTGCTTGGAAACAGAACACAGAGCAGAAGACAGCGCTGTTGAGATAAGGTGGCCAGTTTGCTTGAGTGACCATCTGTGATGTGCTTGCTGTGTGCTGGGCGCAGATGCTGCACAGACAGAGATGAACACAACTGGCTACCCACTCTCCCTCTTGTATCTGTCTTTTGTTCTAATCGAAATTACACCTGGTTTGAAAGGTGTGGGAGGCCAGTTCTTCCAAGGCAGTCAGTGCGGCTGAGCTTCATTCTCAGAGCATTGCTTAACACGGTGCTTCTCACCATACTTCAAAGAGTTGAACCACAAAGTTAAACAATAGCAGAGGGAGAAGAAAACTGGAAAGCAGAGTCGAGGGAGAAGAAATATGTTCTGTACTTACAAAATTCCCTCTGAGGTCATTGCCCCGGACACTCACAAGTCATATGGACCTCAGTCGGGCCTCTTCCAGGCCCCGGGATGTGGGAGGGACTGACACCCTGCCCTGCACGTGCAGCTCAGCTCTGAAACTGAGCTTAGAAAGATGTGTGTGGCCCCTTCCTGCCTCGGTTCTGTTTTCCGTGTGTTTGAGGACTTTGAAGGTCCCTCTGCAGATGCTGAGTTATGTTTAGAGTTTTAGGATTTGCTGTTTTGGGGGGTTTTTTTAAGTAAAATATCTTTCCCCAGCTTTTTTCTTCTAATTACCTTCATACTCTCTGTTCCCATAAGGATTGCGGTTCAGCTTCCGGCTTGGCTTTGAGAATTGGTCTAAACCCATAATTACCTGAGTGCCACTGCCAGATTCATGTCTGTGCACCTTCTTGGCCTCATTTCTCTTGTGAACTATTGGCATAGAACATCTTGTCGTTTCACTTACTGACCTCCAAGTGTAGTTTCCATGAGAATGCTTCTACCTGCAATCAGAAGAGGTGGGCAAGTCTGTGTATCACTCTTGGCGATTAAACTCCTGTGTCACTCCTGATTTCTCAGATGATTACAGTCTTCCAGCCTCAGGAAATTCTCAATTTGACTCCATTATAAGATAGATGCTTCAGATAAGTACTGAATATTATTTCAAAATACAGTACAGTACTGTTTCCCAAATTCGTTTGTGTTCCTGCTGGCTTTCTGGGTTTTTCCCTCAGGTTTAAACTACTTTCCAAGCTATTGCTTGTCAGTCACACACATGAAGATAATTCAGAGTCAGAGCTTCCTCTACCATCTTCTGTGTGGCTACAGGCCAGAGTGGAAGAAGCAGGGAAATCCTTCCCATAGTGGGTAATGAGTCTCGCCACATTCATCCCATCTTCAAGATTGCGTCAGCCACTTTTCTCCCTGACATTATCAGCATCCAGGGACAGAGGCAGTTTTTAGTGTTTGCCTAATTGACACAGTTATAAAGATGAGCTTGTCCCCTCGAGAATCTCTAGCTGAATTCAAAGGAGCAGTTGTTCTCTGTCAGTGGTCACGATGCCCCTCACTTACCACCATTTTCTGAAGGGAATAGCCAATAGACAGAACTAATCCTCACCCCAAAATTATTCAGGGCTTTGGAGTCCTGGTTTTGGTTTATACAATGTGGGTTGCATGTTATACCTTAAATTTTTTCTAAGAATATAATCTTTTTCTTTCTGGGGGGAAAAAACAATATAATCTTTTTTTTTATCCGTCTGCCGTGTACTGTGTGTTCACAGACACTATGAAGCTTTGCTTTTCACAGTTGTTTATATCTACCTGCATAACCTGAGTCATTTAATAGGAAACATGCATCTGGTTTGAAGGTAGTTTCTGGTAAGTGTTCTTGGGAATAACCATAGACATTCCTTTGGGGTGCTCCTGATTTTCACATGTGATCACACATACTTTTTTTTTAATATTTTGGGTATAATTTAGATATACATAATGATCACATTCATCACAGGGAATTTGTATGTGTGCATGATTTATCTTAATTCCTCTTTTTTTCTCCATTCCCCTCCCCTCTTTCGACCCCTCTTCCCCTCCTTATTTATAAAAGCTTTTTTTTCCATGATCACAGATACTTTTGAAGAACAAATTAAAGGCCAGGGATACCTCCTCCAGAAGAAATAGCCATGCAAACAAACAGGCAGGATCATATGCACCACTTTAGGGTTTTTCCAGACTCCCTAAAACTCCATGGGCAGGGTAAGGGAGAAAAAAACATGCTGTAGGACAAAAATTGTAAGCACAGCTGAGATCAAGATCTGCTGAGGTTCTAAGCAAATAATTTCTATTATTTCAATTACCAATGCCTTATTGGAGGTCAGCAGTTTTAGGTGAATTCTACTTTTATTGGTCACTCTGCTAGGATGGGCCTTTCCACTGCTTGGATCTGCTTTATCTGGAGAAACAGCTGTTCTGACTCTCTTAATATTCCTTTCAGAAGATTGAGAATGTTACAGTGAGGTATTGCTGCGTGTTAAATAGTGTGTGGCTTGTAGGGTCCTCATCAGTTCACATAACCTAGCCTTTCATAGAATTTTACATTTTTTTCTGTAGTTGTCAGTTTAGTTTAAACATATTTTGAAACTTATGTTCTGCGACAGTTGGTTGAAAATTGGCTTAAAGCCTCCAGCTTTTAGACTGTCTAGTAATCACCGTTCTTCTACATAATTTATGTATTCATGTCTTCTGAAAAGCAGAAGTTAAATTGAAGTAAGCATTTTTCTCAACTTGCAGCATCTCTAATCAAAGTTTAATCCCCTTCTAGGCCGTTTTCTCCTATATAT